TATATAAGTTATATTAATATATATAGTTACAAATATATATATATGTATATTTGTTAAAGGTGACTTCAAATGTTTATATTGTTTATAACATTAAATTTATTATCGATAGAAAATTATTCATTAATGTATTAAATATTTACTGTTATATTTATTTATATATATATACATAGTATTTATTTATACTATATAATTTTTATTTATATTTATATATATATATTTATATAGTATTTATATTATATAATTTTTATTTATATTTACATAAATACTATATATATATATATAAATAAATATGTAATACATTACTGAATAATTTTTGACTGATAATAAATTTCACACCCAGTATATACCCACAAATCAGCGTTACCAAGATTCTATGACTGTATTCGCGGTTTCCTCAGCTCCCCCCTTCTCCTCCTTCCTTCCTTCCTTCCTCTAGTCTATATATTCGATAGGAAACAGTAACACACAACTAACATAAAACATTTTGCGAAACCTCCTTATCGAACAGTAGATTATTATAACAGCACTGCTCGTTAAGGACCACCCACACACACTCACTATACTGACACCAAGCACGTACAATCAATTATGTATCTTAACGCTCTCTAAAAAGTAAATTTGTTTAAATTATCAAATATCTGTGAATTTTTGGAACATCAGGACACTGCATTGCCTATAAAGTACTTCTCGTTCTTCAATGTAGTACTCGTATTGTAATAAAGAAGGTATTCTAAATATTGTTATTTATATATTCTTTTATTTAGAATATAGTAAGATAAACTAGAACTTTCTTAAAATAAAATAATATTAAGATAAACTAAATTTAATCTGAAGTATATCCTGCGTTATAGATTGCCTTTCTACGTTAGATTTAACTGTGGATAACTGAACTTCGGTCAGTATCACTCTGTAATTGAACATTCAACTCAGACTACAAATTAAATTATTAGTTAGTTTCAAAACAGAAAAGCGTAAAAGTGTGCTCCCAAATTCCAATTCGCAGAAGCGAAGGTCAGTGAACTATTGAAACAAACATTTGTTATCTAGATTTAAAAGGTCATATTCATATTAATTTTTAGGAACAAAAGTAGTGTAAAACCCCATGACTCATGGGATGACCCAGTAAATATATACAATAGAAGATGGCAGAAAGCACCATTAAAATGAACAGTTATTAATTTGATAAATTAAAAAGTGCTGCCTGAAAAAAGAATGTACCCTGAATGTACTCGTAAAAGGTCAAGATACTCTATAATATATATATACACACAGCATTGATAAGCTGATTGTGAACATAACGCAATATTGTTATCATCAGTAAACGATGGATATTCGTATGCTTGCAATACAAGCGAACTAGAAGAAATATACATCGAATAATTATCAGAACTATTCGAAAGACATGAAACAGGTTGAATAATATTCAATATTCTCGTTCGACTAACAGCCTACGAAAACCTAAAACTGTAGAAACATCCACAATCCAACTACTACTGTCACTATTGCCCTTAATGCAAATAACTGAAAAATGATGTAACGTTACACAGCTTAGAAAGCTTTGTCGAAGAGTCTCACTATCAATTCAAAAGAACACTGCGATGGATAAACAATTATCCAACAGCGTTATAAATAATTTCACAACTGCACACTGCGTATGAAAAATTTGTAGAGTCTTGAACGATTCAGGGACACGCACTTCAGGATACGTTTCCAGCACAATAAATATCACTGTTTGTTTTTAATGGAACATAAGTTACATTAACCACACAGAAGTCTTCAGTAATGGCCGACGTAACCTATGTTCGACAGGGAACGTCTCGTTTAAAACGAAGCCAATAAAGTTCGCGATAGCGGATAACGCGAGTGAAAACAAAAAAAAAGTGCGACCGTTGTGTTTACGTAGCTCAATAATGTATAGCTAATCGCATAATTAAGAGAGTATTAACGAGTTTTCTAAGAATCGACTGACTCATTAACCAATGTGACTCATAATCACGTAAACTAGTATTTTCTAGTTATCGGTGGGTAAACTTATAATTTATTTGAAACTTTCCTCCGATGACAGTGTACGTGTATTGTTGAGAAAGTTGGCGTACGTACTCTTGCCAGTTTCATTATCAGTGTACTTAACGCAATCAATATTTTGCTCAACGTTAACCTTTTTCTCAACCCTTCCGAGATAACACTGAAATTATGTGCAATTACAATAAAATCTTGTACACTCTGCGAATATAATATTTATGCTGCGTCAGGGGCATGTAATTGAATATTTGATAACGGAAGAATTATAAGGAAATATTCCAAGATAATACGATAAAACTGATTAAGTAAAATTAAAAACATTTGACGAGTTATCTCAGTAAACAGTGAATTAATCAACGCAGCATGTATTCTCATTTAAAATAAAAAGCGAAGAAGTAAAGTAAGTCACAAATTTGTTGAGCACCGTAGATCTATAAATATTTTTTAAAAAATTGTACAGGAGTACAATGAGAATACAATGTTTAAAAAATCAACAATTTGTGAAATATTTTAAATGTTTGTTAAGTTGTAATTTCGTTCCATTATAGTTTATTAGTTACTAGCAGTTTATTGTCATTAAAGAATCCAGTTTATTTAGAAATTATCATGTACTATCATCATAAACACTGTTTCAAGATAATGATAACATTAAATGCTCAAAGTTACATTAAATGTTATAATTAATATAATTATATAAATAGTTTATACATATTACTCTTATTTATTATATTAGTATTATATTATTACATTATTATTTGTATTAATATGATTATTACCATTATCATTAATATGATATTATTTATATTAATTTAACGCTTTCACTCTGAAGTCTAGTAAGTGATCGATACTATGAAAGAAAAGATTTTTAATTGACATACACTAGTGCGTTTTGATGTCAACAGCACCATCAAAGTAGCGAGATTAATAAATAAATATTATATTAGACTCATCTTACACGAAAAGTATCCAAGCCTATTAATATTTGAGATTTGTATAGTAAATCTTGCGAAATAAAATATGTAAATGCATAAACCCTGATAATAAATCTCTGTATCCTAGTACGAATTAGAATAAATTATTTTAAAATAAAAATAAGTATTTCCCTATGTAGTCTAGCACTGTATAAAATATTAACAGTAAAAAATAAAGGAATCTATTAATAATTATATTACATATTCCATAATTGAAACCGTACGGAATACACTGACACATAAATGTTAACTGTTACCTCCGCGACAGGACCATTTTTATCGCAGAGAATATCAGATTTAAATGTTATTTTTACTCTTGTCTCGTTAAATGATTTAAAACAAGCAACACACTCACCATTTTCTCCATCCGTCAGTGCACCAGCGTCTTCCTCACTCTTCTTAAGTTTGTCCACTGTAATAAAACATTTTCCATTAGACACACACCGATCGACTGAAAATAATACTTTTTCTAAATAATAATTTAAAGAGGATGTAAATACCAATGTGTATTTACTCACCATGCAGCATATGATTTTGAGAGTGATGGTGGTGATGAGACGATGGGGGTTTCCTCTCTGGCCTGATACGTTCCATCAATTTACTGATACGATCGTTGCCTCTTTCTTTCCTAACTAGTGGCCCTGGACAATTCTCCTCCACCACACGAACACACTGGCGATGCACACTCAGAGAACAATCTGTACAAGAGAAACACATCGCTTTATTGCCCTTGTTTAAAATAAAGGAATTCCATTGCAATAATCAGCACACACATTCCTTTTGCATCAAATTTAAAATGATTGTGAACAATACGCACCACTACATAAGTATCCTTGCGGACCAATTCCACCAATGATAAGCTGACAATGATTGCAATAGGTAATAGTAAAGTACTGATGAGCTATAAAATGGTGACCCCTGATTGTCATTTTCCTTGTTTTCCCCGTAAGCAAGCGTGCCTTGATATTTGACTTATCCTTGGCAACGAAGGTAGGCACTCGGTCAAGTGCAACTGTTCTGACTTGAAAAATTTTTGTCAGTATCGTTGCCAAACCAGCTGCTGTTGTGAACTGTCGCAGATCTACGTGTTCTTTTTCTATATCTTCTCTGAAACATTTCATAGATAAATGTCAATATGAGATCCTGCGTCAGTGCGAAATGATAAATCTTAAAAATTTATATCAATGATCTTACAGGTAAGGCTCCATCTTAGGTAAAAGGTATGTCTCTATGATTTTCGTTTCTCGTGCTTTGTCGGACGCACTTTCATCCAACTGCGCATCACTGGGACCAAATAACGTGCCCAGTCCTGCAGTTCTCTTTTGTTGAAAGTCTGCAAGTTGTTCGTTCAGCTCCTCTTTCGCACGTGTTCGTGCTTTCCAGAAGATCTGAAGGGAAGAAATGGATTTAATAATCTGATAAATAGTTGTCAGTGAGTGTACGATGAGATACGCACCTTTCTTAGGATTTCTTCTTTGTCGGATTCTTTTAAAAGAACATCATCTATTTCGTGTGCTACATTTTCATCTACATTATGCAGACGAAGAGGCTGAACAAAATATTCCCAATTAGATATGTTACTATCTCGAAAGCTGCTATCGTACAAATCTCTTTGAATACTTACTGCACCAGGTACTAAAAAACTAGAATGAATTTCATATGCCCATTTCCTCATTTCCTTTGCGTTTCCTTCTTTGTACAAGTCTGTTACTAAATAGAACAACTGTAATAACAGATACTTTTAAATAACGCAATCTAATATCATTATCCTGAACGTATATTAGGTGTATACTTGAACGACAAAGTACTCACCAGACTGGAGGGATCACTATTCGATAAGACATAATTAATAAATACAGCAAGGTGTGCGTGATGCCCCCATAGGCGTGCCAAAGATTTGAATGGGCCATGATCTTCCAACTGTCCCTGGAATAATGTTCGGTTAGAATTAAATTACAGTGGTTATTATTTCATAGAAAAGGATAATATTTTATATGGAACGTACAACTTCTTGGTCACTCATATCATCGTCTTCCATTGACATGATTGGCTGTTGTAACGTTGGTAATCCAGGAATGTTTTCATTTAAAGTTGTCTGCGCAGAAAAGATTATTTGAATTATCTAGCGTACAGTTTTCTTTTTGAGATTACACTGTTTAGGGAAGCTTACATCATTTATAGTAGAACTCGAGGTATCGTTCCCTGGACTAACGACTGGATATGGAGGAGGGGGGGTTCCTGGAGGAGTGATATGAGGTATTTCATCTAGATCAATGTCACTATGCCTCACGTGCCTCGGAGGGGAAAGATCATTCATTGATTCTGATGCTATTAAACGTCTACTAGCTTCTGCCGGAGAAATTGTTGTAGTTCCTAGTTGTTCGGGACTGGACTTTGTTCTTTGATGCTTGTTGAGTGAATTCGAAGAACTCAAATTTGCCCCCTGCGAAAGCTATAATAAAAGTTGAACGTGATAAACTGAAATATTACCGATGACAATAGAACGTAAGCGTAGAAAGAAAATAATAGAGTAGAATTCCTTATGCGAGACTGTAGTGAAATACACAATATGTACATAACCTTTAAACAGATTTTATAAACTAGAACTAGTGAACGCTAATTATACAAACGAGTGAAATGAAATATAGATACGTAATAGATTAATAAAAAGTATGCATAGGGAAACCATAAATTTGTAACAAGTCACAAAAACTATACATCGATGCATACACAGTCATACTTAAAAGGACATTACTAAATAATGTTACGCATTATCCAAGCAGTAAAACATCAATGGTAACATCGATAAACATAGTTCCCTTCGAGTCTAATATCTGATACGTCTGTACATGAACCTATTTTAACGTAACGTTTATTAAAGAAGTGCATAAAGATGTGGATACAGTCCTTTAATAAATACTTGAATACAGCATGATACGATTATAATCGAATACACGAATCGCAAGGTATAACACTTAACGGAATAATTTAGACGATTTGAACATATATAAGAGAATGTAACTGTTCGACAAATAAATACGAGTTAATTGTGGAGATGTATACATTATCGTGTGACATTTTTCTCTTTACCATGCATTTGTATACGTTACTTATTTAATGACTTAGTGATTAGACTACTTACAGAGTTAGGGATGCCATGACTGGTGGTTGAGGGCGTTAAATGAGTCAACAGATGACGCTCCAGCTCCAACTGGGCTACGTTGTGTGTATTTGTAGGAGGAGGTCTGGGAGGCAATGGTGGCGGAGATAGGCTTTGCATGGACAAGGATTTACGAGACGGTAGAGGTGGTGGCACATCACCACTGCTACTATTCAAAGGTGGATAATAGCCCGGGGAACACGAAGTGTTTGTTACCAACGAGCAAAGCTGTAAGACACAACAAAAGCTGGTTAGATAAAGTTAGCAAAAGCTTAAATACATCCCTAAGTGACTGAACTTGAAAATCTCAATATTACAATTGCAAGCACACCTTATATAAAAATTACACTTAACATAGCTTAAATAGGAACATGTACAGAAGCAACGTAGGGTCTATCATGTTTTTCTATTAACCATCAAACGATATTAGCTATTAATGTATCAATGAAAAAAAATTAAGTACTACAAAATCAATGATAAAATATTGTAATATAATACTCTGATCATAATGCCTTCTATTTAAAAAAAATAAACACCGTAATAACATCATGCCGAGCAAATATTTGGTACATCGAACAGCATCGGTTGAACTGTTGAACACAGAGATAAAAGCAAGGCAAGAATAAAGGTTAATGGAATAAGCATTAAAACGATCTTATATTTTATGAATAAGATAATGTGTCGTAATGTGATATATATATATAATATATGTGTACATATGTATATTATATATGTGTATATATATATATATATATACACATATATACTAATATAAAATGTATGCATTACATTAGTGAAATGAATAGAAATCTAAAAATCTATTTAAAAAATCGATGGAAGCATACTATGACGAAGAAAAATCATACCTGTTCATGAGTAGTAATCGCAGCTAGCTGCTCCTGTAATGTGCGTACTCTCCTTTCGGCGCCTGCTAATTCTGCTTGTAGTCCAACATTGACAGTACCACTACCACTACCACTCCCCGTTTTCGCAAGTTCATTTCGAAGCTTGTCAACGTAACTCTGTTCATTCTCCAACATAAGCTGGAATGTATGAACGCGCTGTGTTTCTAGCTGCCGCTTTTTCTCATGCTAAAACACATTGAAACGTATATCATTATTATAATTAATTTAATATGAAACAGGAAACAAAGAATTTAATGACAAATACTGAACTCTGAGTCCAATAGATAACCGTAAAAGTAAAATCTATGAACAAAAAAGGAAAATAAATTGAATTAATGAGAGTATGAAGCAAATCGCGTTTAATATTAACCCTTCACTTTATAATATTGAATCGAACTCATGGTAAAGGTTCACGTTGACATTAGTTCACTCAATTACAGCTTAATATGACGCTCTATTTATTTATTCAAGAATATTTGGGAGTCATTGAAATGTTACCTTTAAACGGTACAATTGTGATACTACAAATAGAAAAAATTGTTAAAACAGGTAGAGGTTGCAGTAAAATAGAATGTCGAGTCTGACTGCTACAGGTTAACAGATATTTTGTTGGTAACTAGACAGTTCTTGTAAATTGTTTTATCTCATAGAAATATATATAAGTTTATTTAATATAGTTTATGAAATTGTTTATAAAATACATTTCTATACATGTTCAAAATAACCTACCAGATTCGTAAACACAGAAATTTTCTGACATTGCAAGGTGAAGAGGTTAACGAGGAGGTCTGCTTACGTTCAAAGTAATTCCAACTTACGTCGACCGGTTGAGGGCCCGTGATGCGCGCGTTACACTGCGAGCCGGCCGGCGCAGTGAACGCCCTGTGCAAAGAAGTCGCCGGCTGCGAGGGTGATACCATCGTGCTGCCCGCTGACAGACTGACCGGCCGCTGATGCTGTCCGCCCGCCAGGCCAACCTGTAGCCCTGTGGCCGTCGTCGCCGCGCTGCTCGTCGCGACCGGCCTCTGCTGCACCGTCAGTACCACCTGCGTCGAAGCTGCAACAGGAGTTCAAGGACGACGATTAGTCACCGCGTTCGCATACCTGCGCCGGTCCTTCCCCCGCGTTTGACCCCTCATCTTTCTTTCGAGAACCGCGACGCGGGTAATCGTCTCGCCTGCCCTCTCGTGGAAAGCCATCTCTCTTTCTCGGGTTTAACCTTTCTTTACGCGTGCGTGCCGCCCGTTTTGTGGGTTTCATGTTTTGTGTGTGTTATGTGTTATATTATGTTTATATGATAAGTGTGATTATTTTGTTGCGTTTGTGTAATGTTTATTATGTATTGTATTAATTATATTAATTATATTGTATTGTGGGTCTCGCGTGTGTTGTGTGTTATATTATGTTTATATGATAAATGTGATTTTTTTGTTGCGTTTATATAATGTTTATTATGTATTGTTATATATTATTATTATTATCATCATTATCATCATGATCATCATCAGCAGCATCATCATCATCGAAATCATCATCGTAATTATTGTTATTATTATTGTTGTTGTTGTTATTATTATTATTATATGATAAATACAATATTCATTGTATAAATATAATTATTTTATTACATTTGTGTAATATTTATTACATGTTGTATTAATTATATTATTGTATATTATTATTATTATTATTATTATTATTATATAATAAATATTACAT